AATGCGCGGATGGCGTGTCTGATTTAGGGCCGAGGGCCGATGCCATTGTGAGGGGGGAATTACAGCAAATCTCAACTCTTCACTCGGTGAACTTAGTTTATTTTCCCGTGGTAATATCAGTTGGAACCAGTTTGGGCCCCGCACATATTAAAAAAGATTTGGAGATGGGCTGAGCATCACGATAGGAGAGACGAGACAAAAACACCATTAGTGCTGGCCAAATTGAATTTATGAATATAATAGCCTAGGAAATTTCATGTTTTCCGCTTGGTGACGTACTGGTTTAGGACAACAACATTAACAGCAACAACAGGGACAACAACACACTCTTTAACCCGAAACCTTAGAATATGTCCGATAATTAGGGCACGTCCCCAGAAGATAATAAGTTCAGTGTCGTAAGAACTAATCAGGAGTCGGATTGAAATTTTTAAAATGTTTCTATTAGTCTTATGGTGGACTAGCGGACTGGCCCGTACCGAGACCCAGCCAAGGAAACAGTGCGCATGCGCAGAGAGACTGGACATAGCGTGTGTGTTTATGAACCGTGTTCCGGACGCAAGCAGAAAGTCAACACCTGATTGAGAACTTGTATTTATGTATATATACGTTTATGTTACTTGTTTAAAATAAAAACATTGAAAACATAACAATTAGGTTATCAGTCCATTATCGTTATCATCAAATTAGCATCCTAAGTTCAAATATTGATCGAAGTTTGACATTATCTGTTAATTCCTGAGATTTTTTATATCTGGGTTACGTTGACCTGATATATTCATTTTAGATTTGTACATAAAAGATACCCTTAATGATAGAAAACGTCAACGGTAGGTGCTTTTTAACACGCGATCGCGACGTCACTGGCTCCTCCACTGTTGTGTTCAAGATGCAGTGATGACGTCACTGGCACCTCCACCGTAGTGTTCAAGATACTGTGATGACGTCAATGGCTTCTCCACTGCAGTGTTTAAGATGCATTTATGACGTCACTGGCTCCTCCACCGTAGTGTTCAAGATACAGTGATAACACTCACAGCAGGTCGGCCCATGACAGTGTTCAAGAAGCATTTATTCTATCACCGCCTGCTCCATCATAGTACCAAAGAAACCTTGAGGACATCACTGACAGCGTAGTGCCAAAGACGCCTTGTGGAGATCACTGACAGCCTAGGGCTAAAGAAACCTTGAGTACATCAGGGAAAGCCTAATCCTAAAGAAACCTTGAGTACATCACTGACAGCCTAGTTCTAAAGAAACCTTAAGTACATCATTGACAGCCTAGGGCTAAAGAAACCTTGAGTACATCACTGACAGCCTAGGGCTAAAGAAACCTTGAGTACATCATTGACAGCCTAGGGCTAAAGAAACCTTGAGTACATCACTGACAGCCTAGTTCTAAAGAAACCTTAAGTACATCATTGACAGCCTAGGGCTAAAGAAACCTTGAGTACATCACTGACAGCCTAGGGCTAAAGAAACCTTGAGTACATCATTGACAGCCTAGGGCTAAAGAAACCTTGAGTACATCACTGACAGCCTAGTTCTAAAGAAACCTTAAGTACATCATTGACAGCCTAGGGCTAAAGAAACCTTGAGTACATTACTGACAGCCTAGGGCTAAAGAAACCTTGAGTACATCACTGACAGCCTAGTTCTAAAGAAACCTTAAGTACATCATTGACAGCCTAGGGCTAAAGAAACCTTGAGTACATCACTGACAGCCTAGGGCTAAAGAAACCTTGAGTACATCACTGACAGCCTAGGGCTAAAGAAACCTTGAGTACATCACTGACAGCCTAGGGCTAAAGAAACCTTGAGTACATTACTGACACCCTAGTTCTAAAGAAACCTTGTGGACATCTCTGACAGCCTATTGCTAAACAAGCAAAAATGATAATGGCTGTTTAGCTCAATAGCTTCTACAAACTTTTGATTGCTAAAACCAAAAAGGAAAGAGATTTTGAACTTTTAATGTAGTTTGTGTGGCGAAAGGTGCGACACATACGTTCTTGATGACACATGAATCTTTGTTGTCATTGTATTCTTTTAATTTATTTTTCCTAGCACTAACAAATGGATTATGATTATATATGCTGGTTTTTGTTTTGGTCACTCTATACAGTGTGGGCTCACTCCCAAGCTCATGATTAATTTTTTTGGTTTTTATCCAGACTAAACAATGGCGAACAACTGTTCCTTCTTTTTGACCAAAGTCTTCCTCTCTGCTGGTATTTGTTTTATTGTTGACACACGTGACACTTTCGTTCGGTCGACTCACACTTTTTCGTGCTGACCTGAAAGGTCACCTGAGTTTATTTTAATCTTAATTTTATTAGTGTTTGGATTCACCTTGGCGCAGCCTTCATGTAGTGACCTCTCTCCTCATCCGTTGTAAATTTATACATAAATTATAAATAATTTATTTATGTTGTGATCTAAATGTATTTAAGAAGTGGCGTAGAAAGGGTGGGGGGGGGTAAGAAGGGGCGGTCCGTCCAAGGGACAAAGTTTTTTTCTTTCTCTTGTTAAAGGGGCGTCATTTTTTACCAATTGCATGGAACTTTTTCGTCGAAAATCTTGGTCTACCCTTGTGGCCCTAACGCTAGCTACGCCTCTGTCTACTTTACCCCTTCAGTCAATTTAACTGTTTTGTACCGTTGTATAGTTCATAGCTGCAGTGGCGCCCTAATCAGGAACAACTAAATGAGCATGGACAATTATTATTTATGTCTAAAAACTACCATTCAGAATCGAATTTTTTTTTTACTCCACAGGGAAAAAATCGTAAGCTAAAATATATCCAGACGCCATTCTTTTGGTTTGAACGGCCGCCTTTTGTGCATCCGCCTCTGCTGACTTAAATTATACAACTTCTAGGGACTGTTATCTAAGCGTGTTATTGCCCCCTTACCACTCACTTCAGTACAATAACACCTGCTTGATAATGTCCTGAGTGTGGCTATAAGTTAAGATCTTCATTTACGTAACTCGTGAAAAATGCTTGCTACTCTTCTTGACACACACACACACACACACACACACACACACACACACACACACACACACACACACACACACACACACACACACACACACACACACACACACACACACACACACACACACACACACACACACACACACNCCCCCACACCCACACACACACACCCACACACACACACACACACACACACACACACACACACACACACACACACACAGACACACACACACACACATACACACAGAGTAAACAGTTACTTACACAACCTTTTAATAGACATGCTTGCAAAAAAAAAATATGATGGAGGGTGTCCCGGGGAACCCACATCTAAACATCACCAGATGTTATCACGCTCCCACATTTAGATTTGACTTGTGTTTACTCTGGTACCATTCCTTCACCCCTGTCCGCAGAGGCGTAGCGAGGGGGGGCAGGGGGACTGATTCCCCGGGCGCAAGCTAGTTATTGACACCAAAATGTGCTTTGATATTATATTATTGGTAAAAATAATGGGTTTGAGAGTTGAAAAAAAGAAAAGGGGGCGCTTTAAAATGGATCTTGTCCCCGGGCGCAAATCTTGTCCCCGGGCGCAAATCTTGTCCCCGGGCGCCAAACACCATCGCTACGCCTCTGCCTGTCCCACAGCTGATAAAACACCAGCTCATATTCAGTCGGGACAGTAAACACAAGACCTTCCACTACAGGAAGTTACTCTTCAATGACAGTTATAAAATAGCATACTAATTAAGCATATAAAAAAACATGAAAAAATATATATATAAGAATAAGATATTACGGTCTTCAATCAAGTGAATACCCAATGCCCTGCCTCTGTTATTCCTGGGTTTATAGTTGGTACTATAATTTTAAAAAGTTTAACTTACGCCCTACCTGAGTGAATATTTTGACTCTTCAGTGTAATTATAAAATTCTGAGTTATAGAGGCAATAACTATTTTTTAGCATAGAATTTTGCATTAAGAAACCCAGAACTTTGAAAGTACCGGTAAGAGAATTTTAAAATGCAACTAATTTATTTCAACATAGACTTAAAAATAGTATGTCGGTGTGTGTGTGTACAACTAAGTCGACGATGACAAAGAAGGCGTCCACTTCAGTTATAAGCATCGCATCAAGGAACATCGTCTCTATAAAAGTGTATTGGGCAAGAATGTTTAATGGGATACGAAATTTCTCTCTCTCTGGTTGTCGAAAATGGGGCAAACTTGCCCGACAATGTCATCTCTCTTTGGTTGGTTTATTTGTGTGTTTGTTTTTTTGTTTGTTTGTTTTTGTCTCACATTGTGCCGATCTCATGTTGTGTATATTGTGACGCACGTTCAATTTGGCACATAATATGTATGTGTGTATGTGTGTGTGTTAAGAGTGCATTTCGATTTGGTATCTTAATCGTTGGGTGTGGGTCGTTAAAGTGGCTGCACGGCTGGACCACGGCACCGATGGTGGACAGCGTTATCAAACAACCAGCAAGCCGACCAAGGCTTTTCCTGATTCCATGGGCGGATCAATTTTCCTGCTGAAATGAAGAATTGTAATACACCATGATGTGAGGCAGCGCCACGGACGCTTCAACTAATGGCGATCTGCTGGCAAGTGTTACGAGCATTTGATCATATTGACAAAGACGGACACACCCAGGCTTAATTCCTTAATATGAACGGTAAGTGTAAGGTGTGTCCACATCAGTGATACGCTCAACGAATCGGAAGTCACGCGTAGTGAAGTACGTAGAGAGGTTAATCATATCACCATGGTTACTACCAGATAGAAAACAACGGTGTATAATTATTTGAGTAGGTGTATATGAGAGAAAAGGAGTGAGAGAGAGAGAGAGAGGAGAGAGAGAGAGAATTAGAACTATAGAGTATGTGCTGTGTATGCATGAGGTAGAGAGGCAGCGAGAGACAATTATATAGAGTATAGAGATATGCGGAAGCATGTTCTGGCCGTATACACCTACGCAAAATGTTATCATTGCTCAGGAGGAAGCCCTGTGCATGAGGTTGTTACACAACCATTAGTACAATCGTTTAACAAAAACGTATGACTCAAGCAGTTATAACTTCTAGTACTGTTGGTCACTGACTTATTTTAGAAACGTACAGGTGATACGAATCGAGTAGTAGGCATCAAATATTGCTAGCTCTTCACTTCAAATCGATTCTACGGTGAATTTTCATTTAAATCATTCATTGGTTTAGGGTACGGATCGATAGATGAAAATTTATCGATGACACATCGAAATTGCAGCGTTAAAAATGTTTAATTAAATTCTTAGGTCTAGGTAAAGTATCATACATCTTACATTAAAAGTTTTTTTTTAAATCTTTATATTAACTTCGCTTTTTTTTTTTTTTCTTGGCTGGCTGGGGGAGGGTCTGGCAAAATCTTTGGACGGCCACTTGGCCAACTTCCCGTAAACATATCGAGGTTAAACTTGGCACATATGCTCATTGACGATGAAAACATACTTACATTAAAAGTTTTTTTTTAAATCTTTATATTAACTTCGCTTTTTTTTTTTTTTTTTCGTGGCTGGCTGGGGGAGGGTCTGGCAAAATCTTTGGACGGCCACTTGGCCAACTTCCCGTAAACATATCGAGGTTAAACTTGGCACATATGCTCATTGACGATGAAAACATACTATCACATTTTCAAAATGGACCCAGACACGCAGCGCCGCCATTCGGACCCGGGTACGATTAGACTCAAGCTATTCGGATGTCATTTGTGGTAGTTCATTTCAGTTAAACTGAAGAATTAAGTTTTCAAACCTATAGTCCATTCAATTATCTTTCATTTGATACCTCATATTGTCTCACAAACCCAACAATAATATTTTAAATAGCTTTTTAATCCCAACCTCCCACTTCTGGTACCAGGGTACGAATAGTCGCAGGTAATTTTATTTTTATTATTATTTTTCAATTCCAAACTCGTGAAATTGTGCATGCGATAGGTGACTCCTTTCGCATGTTTAATTATTTAATATTATTCATTTGGGGTTAAATTTATAGATCTGTCCTTGCATACACATATATAAATTTAAAAATAGAGAATTAAATAGCTATTTAACTCCTTCCTGAAATTTAAAAAAAATTCAACTAAAATACAGTTTACAATTCATGTTAAAATACAACTGACAATTCATGCTAAAATTAAACGTACAAATTGATGCTGAAATACAACTTGCAATTCATGCTAAAATGTATGTTAAGACAGTGATCGTAGAACGAAAACTCGATGTGTCACTCCATGTTAAAGTACATAGTCAATTCTTTAAAACTAGGAAGGGAAAAAGAGGGCAATGCAACACAATGGAGAACGGTTCAGTCAATGATATCCTCGGAGTGTCGTGCCCGTCCTTCTACCTTCTTCTCGCCACTTTCCTGGCCTGCGTGTATCTCCTGTACAACCAGAGGTCAGGTGCTGAGACCTGGGATAAGTACGGAGTGAAACATGCAAAGCTCGGAATTGTTGGTCCCAGGTAAAGATTTCTTTTGTTGTATCTGCTCAATTGTTCAACGGCATTTAACCTCGAGTAAAAATGGGTTGATGATAGTGTGTTTGACGTACCTGACTATATATAATACCAATGTTACTTTAAAAATGCCAAACGTAAGATTTAAGTTCTTTAAAAAATGTCGTTTTGATTTTATAGTCCAAAGGGATGAATACCGGTAGCGATTTTTGAAATATCAGAATCCAATGCAAGCTGTGAATGCTGTATGTTTGTTATCACTTGAAACATGTGTTGCCGAGACTCCAGTTTCCCTTGAAGATCACATCTTTTGGAGAAAAAAACAATACGTGTCTGTTGTTGTTTGTGAGAACACTAACATGGTTCTCACTTTGTTACAGACAGGCTTTTACGCAATTGCTGCAGGAGTACGGTGACACGGTTGGATTCAAGAGAGGACCGCTGACCTTACTGACCAAAGATCTGTCCATTGTGAGGGAAGTCATGATCAAAGACTTTACCAACTTTGTGGACAGGACCTTCGCCTTGACCTCAATGTCGCCTGTCGAGAAGGCGCTCTTCTTTCTCCAAGGGAGAGACTGGCGGCGTATACGGCAGATACTCTCCCCTGCGTTTAGGTGAGCTCCCCTTAGAAATGTGGTTTCCAGACATAAGACTTAATTGTACAGTCCTCCACTTCCTAACCCTAAAATTGTGTAGTGGCCCCTATAAAAAAAATCTGGAAGATCATATTATTTACAAAATGCGCATATATATATATATATATTTATTTAGATATATAACTATGTATAATATATATATCCACATCTATCTGTCCACCTCTGACTGTCTGGTCTTCATGAATATATAGTTATATTTAGATATATATATATGTGTGTGTGTGATTTTGTAAAAAGTTCATTAATATTTATAAAAGATAGGCAAACACTATTTATTTTATCACTCCTATAATCAATTTTAGTGATTCCATACCTTACATTCTGTTGCTGACCCCCACATTGTCCACGATGGATGTTAGGATACCCCACTCCTCCTCCGTCTGAGATCTCAAATAGTTTTAACAGTAGAATCAAATCCCGCATGATAATTTCCCACCAATTTCCGCAGCACCGGAAAGTTGAAACAGATCTCACGAACAGTGGAGGAACGTGCCCGAAAGCTGAGCCGGGTCCTGGAAGACTACGCCAAGAGGGACCAGCTGGTCCCGGTGAAACAAAACACTGGCCAGTACGCGAGCGAGATCATTGCCAGGATGGCGTTCGGCATCGAGACCAACTGTCTGGGGGGCCCCGATGACGAGTTCACGCACTACTCCAAAACGATGCTCAAACCACGCAGTGGGTTCATGACCGTGGTCAATATTATGATCGGACAGTTTCCTTGGCTCAACAGGGTTTTGATCAAGGTAAAAATGAACGGATGTGACCGACGCATGAGGAATATCGCACGAATTTAAGGTTATATGGCACGTTAAGAAAGATTAGAAGGGTTTAATAGATGTGTGTGTGAGGCTGTAAGGGGGGGTGGGGGGGCTTTTGTATTTTTTTGTTATTTGTGGCTCCCAAAATTTTATAAATTGTCTATTTAAGGAATGTATTTTTTTTTTAACACTGGGTGATTAATTATAGGATTTAAAAATTCAACATAAAATTTAACCGAAATAAAGACGATGAGAAATCAAACGCAATCTGCTTTAGGATCAATAGCGAATTCTGGAAATGTATTGACCACTTGCAATACCTGGTATCTGGCAAAGTTTATCAGTGCGGTCGGAATACATTTGCGAATGTAACCGCGTCATGTTACTGAAATAGCAAAAGAAAAATATTCAAGGTGTTGCGTCACAGTTTTTTGACATAGCTACCTGTGAGTACTCATATTTTTATTTCTTTTCGTCAGACTCTGGGCATAAAGCTGTTTGACAGTGTCAGTTATAAATCTGATAAATATTTCAATTCAGTTCTGCACACAACCCTCGAGGACCGACTGGAGAAAGGGAGAAAAGGTCAAAGTGTCCCGACAGACTTTATCCAAAGTCTTATATCTGCCAGAACACCTCGCCAACAGTCGACTGATGATGGTCTGTAGTTATGCGAAAACTTTTGAAATATTTGGTTACTCTAATCAAAGATATAATAAAGTAAATTAATCCATTTTTTATGGGTCAGTTTTAACATCGTAGATCATTAATAATCCTCCATGAATCGCTTTTCGGTTATTATTTAAAAAAAAAAATATATATATAATTGAAAGACTGCGTTCAAGCTGTGCGAAGGAAATGGTAGAAAAAGGTATGTGGAAGATTGAAATAGAAAGGACAATAAGATAAGAAAGTTTTTTTTCATTTGCCTTGTCTGCCCAGGAAGTCTCTTCGCCGAAACGCTCCAATCTCTTGTCCTGTCTTTTGATTCAACCTTCTACATTCCTTGTTCAACTATTTTTTTAATAAATCATGGTGAAAATTTTATTTTACGTTACGTAATAAAGAGGATCTTGAATCATCTTTGAAATACTCTTGCCTGTCAGAATCGGTCATTAAAATGCCTTATTGAAAACATTGCAAAATACGCCCATGCACGTTGTGGACAAATATTAAGTAATTACATCCGGAACAATAGTAAAATATTCACTCTGCCTCGGTGTAACACATTCATTCTTCCCACGCGCAGTAATCGTTTGGAAACCACCTGTGGACAATGCCACCGTGGACTTCGACGTCAGTCGAGAGCTTCAAGTCTGCCCTGGCATCCGCTAGGAGCCGTTAAGATAGCATCGCATCCCCAACCATTGCACATATGCCAGTACGTGGATTCGGCAACGTACCCTACCAGAACAGAGCCTACACATTACTTTTTTTTTTTAGAATACCCAACACCGGGTTATTTTGAAGATGTCATAGTAATTCTTTTATTTGTTTCTATTTCGCCTGTCTACAGGCGCGCCCGTCGTCCAGTCACGTGATCAGAAGTTACACAATAGCGAACAAAATGATTCTTGGTCAAATCTTCCTAAATTTTTAACCGAGGAAGAACTGATAGCCCAGTCGATGTTGATTATCTTTGCCGGCTTTGAGACCACGGCTACTTCCCTCCAAATGTGTTTCTACAACCTGGCTAAATATCCGGAAATTCAGGTGGGCTGTACCATTTTCAAGTCACAATTATCTGAAATACTTTTTTTATTCTTTAATTTAGAAAACAATATTATTATTATTTACGACAAAGCTTCCCCCACCCCTTTCATTTAATTTTTTTTTTTTAATTTAAAAAAAATAATTGAATCCCTTTAAGCAAAATGATCTGAGTTATTACGTATTCCAACACTTAAGCCCCCCCCCCCCCCCCCCCCCCCCCCCCCCACCCCCCACGGACCACAACCCCCTTTCTTGAATTCCTCATGACATGCCCCGGATTTCACAACTGTGTATCTTAATGGGCCACAATATACACTATATAGCTCATCCAAGCGTACGGTTTTTCTATTTTCAGGCAAAGGTGTACGAGGAACTCACACAGGTCGCGGCGTCAGATGTCCCAACTAAGGACGAACTCACTCGGCTTGTCTACATGGAACAGTTCATCAATGAGACCCTGCGGCTGTACCCGCCTGTACCATTTGTCTCGAGGAGAGCCGCGGAGACCCGCACCTACGGCAGCGTCACCATCCCTAAAGGGGCAGGGGTCACCATCCCAATATTCGCCATCCTCAAAGATCCCCGAAACTTTCACGATCCCGAACGGTTTGATCCCGACAGGTTTTCAGAAGACAACAAATCTAAGAGAGACCCCATAGCTTTCATGCCGTTCGGCTGTGGGCCCCGAACCTGCATCGGCCTGAGACTGGCGTACTTGGAGTTGAAAATGGCCTTGGTGCATGTTCTCAGAAAAGTCAGATTTGAGCTCAATGAAAGAACGGAGCCCCGGGCCGGTGTTCATGGTTGTGGAGAAGCCGGTCCTACTGGCCGTGACGCTTCGAGCTTCAGAATAAAACGATTCAGTTATTTTGTTTTTTCTCACTGTTAAATTACTAATTACTTTATTGGACGTAACGAATTTCAATTATATATTCAGGAAATTAAAATGATTGTGGAAATAAATTTAAAAAAACAACAAAACAAAAAAAACTGGTCAGAAGAATTTGGTTATAGAAATAGTGTATAAAACTTAAGATTGTACTTATAAATGTGTAATGAGTCCACCAAGGATCTAATAGTGATGTAGTAATGTAATGGCCATATTTTAATTGGTCGGGTGAAAATTCACGTTAATATTTTTAACGATTGCACCACAAGCATATTATTGATAATGAATTATAATGAGATTCCATTGTAATGAAGCTGAAATTATAGTGGGATTCCATTGTAATAGAAATAATATTATGATGGGGTTCTGCTGCAATTGAACTAAGATTATGCCTATTTAAACAAAAGTAGGGTGTGTCATCGTGAAGACCAAACTTTACACTTTAAATGTCAAACATGGGTAAAAGTAGTTTTTATAAAGGATCTACAGCCAAAGTCACAGCAGTAAAAATCTGGGCATTGTATTGTTTTTTTTTTTAAAGACTATCTTTCTACTTGCATTTCCAACTTGTTTGTCCAGCTTAATTTTCTTTTGACACACGTGTCCCTTTTTTTGCGGTCGATTCCGTATTCCTCGTGCTGACCTGCTTAGCATTTGAGTTGATGACTCGGCTACGTTATACTGGGGCGACATAGGAGGTTGGGGTGGTGAGTTGATGTGGAGAAAAAAAAAGGGTGAACAACAGGAAAAACAACTCTAAACCTTCGCTTAATTTATCGCCAATTAGACTTTGATCAACGGACGGCAAGCAGTCGTTACATTTTACTTTTTTGTTTTATGCCTGGGTAAACTTTACTTCAGAATAAAGGTCTATAATGTTAATTCAGTTCTTGCTGATCATTAAAGATGTCCTAATTCGGATTTCACATTATATTACATCATAAAAGGATAACTTTTAAAGTAGGGGAGCGTGTTAATGATACATAAATAAATATATGATGGCATCATGCTTTAAAAAAGTATAGATCTACTTATTAGCTTAAATTTAAATGTACTCGATTTCATATATGTTGAGTTAGATCAAATGAAAACTTACAAAAATACAAGTTATTTGTTTATATTTCTTTTTTTACACAAATTACGATGTTAACAGGCGCATACAAATAGTGCACGTTTCATTAATTAGTATTAAACCGAAAGCGTTTGTGTTTTCTTTACATCAGCTACTTTTTAAACAAAGTTTAAAGAATAACAGAGTTTTTAAAAAAAATCTTAGTTTATATTTATTAAAGTCCTAGCTGCTTTTCAATTTTAAAATCTTAATAATAAACAACCTGCGCCTTCTATTTGTATCCAATAAACAACATGCGCCTTCTATTTGTATCCAATAAACAACCTGCACCACCTATTTGCACCCAATAAACAACCTGCGCATTCTATTTGTATCCAATAAACAACCTGCGCCTTCTATTTGTATCCAATAAACAACCTGCGCCACCTATTTGCACCCAATAAGAAACCTGCGCCTTCTATTTGTATCCAATAAACAACCTCCGCCACCTATTTGCACCCAATAAACAACCTGCGCCTTCTATTTGTATCCAATAAACAACCTGCGCCACCTACTTGCACCCAATAAACAACCTGTGCCACCTATTTGCACCCAATAAACAACCTGCGCTTTCTATTTGTATCCAATAAACAACCTGCGCCACCTATTTGCACCCAATAAACAACCTGCGCCACCTATTTGCACCCAATAAACAACCTGCGCCTTCTATTTGTATCCAATAAACAACCTGCGCCATCTATTTTTTTTTTTTTTAAAAAACGAAAAAAATGTATAGACCTCTCTATAAACCAGCTTTTAAAAATTTATATTAAAAAATTTAATAAATTTTATTTAATAAGTTTAATCCCATAAAATTTTAAATGAAAATAAAAAACAATAAAAAATATGCACCCAATAAACAACCTGCGCCTTTTTTTTGTATCCAATAAACAACCTGCGCCATCTATTTTTTTTTTTTTTAAAAAACGAAAAAAATGTATAGACCTCTCTATAAAGCAGCTTTTAAAAATTTATATTAAAAAATTTAATTAATCTTATTTAAGTAGTTTAATCCCATAAGATTTTAAATGAAAATTAAAAACCATTAAAAACTAGTATCTCTCCCTGTGGTACGTAGAACGATGTTAAATAAATTCAGATGTGTGTTAAATTTGCATTTTTTGAGTTATCTAAAATTTCTTCGGACTATAGAGATGTGAGATTAAACGAGTGCAAAAAAAAAAATAAAAAAAAATAGTGTTACCACAAGGGCGCCAAAAACTGGAATAAATTAATTTAATTCAGGTTGGGCTAGGGCGGTGCTAAAGATGTCCCTGATCTTTTTTTTTAATGGCTTAATTTTGGTGCTTGCCACACGAAAGTTTGATATGCCCCCACCGAAATTGTTTGGAAGAAACACTGAATTCAAGAATGCGCAAAATGAATCTCTGCATTTGACTGCAAAAATTTTCTAAGTGCAAAGGGATCCCTGCATCCACTTTTGCTCAAGAGTTACTGCTCCTTTTCTGCTCTCCATATCCCTCTCTCTGATCAATCTGACAGTATGGGGTTGAATCTAAATTTGCCGAATGATTACCCGGGGGCGTCACATCCAGAGTGAGTTCAGATTATGCATGGCACTGGGCGCCACAATCTCTCCAATGGACGCCAGAAAATTCCTTCCTCCGATCAAATTGTCTAACAGAAACACCTAATTCACGTATACCTCAAAATAAACCTTTTGATTTAGAAATAATCAAAAAAATTCTGGGGAAGGGCTGCCCAGAACCCCCCCCCCGCCCCCGCTTCCTCTCAAGAACCATCGATGTTCTCAATTCATGCCCAGGTTCCTGATAAAAATGACAGTATGGCTGGCCCTGAACGCAGATAGATACACTGCCTAGAGGTGTAGTTAGTGCCGCCCTGATGCGGGCCAAGATGTTTTCCGCGCTCACATTCACGATACCAACTCTGCAGTTGTATGAAAATACCGCCACTCCATAAGAAAAGGTGACACCTGGATTGACGGCGTAGCCGAAGTAGCTAGATTGTTTGTGCCAGGGGACAATAATTAATTTTGCGCCCCCCCCCCNTCCCTTTTGGGGATACCTAATCTGCCCCCCCCCCTTCCATAAATACGCCCTTAGCTACTTGCACTGCCTGCCCTCAATGTGAAATCCCCCCCCCCCTTTTTTTTTCCTAATGTTGAAACTAAAGAAACCCTTCCCATGTAGAAAAAGAAAGTGACACCCGGGTGTATCGCCATTCCATCCCCTTCTTAAGCTAGAGCTTGTGTTACTACTGCTAGTTTTCTAGTTTGGTCCTCTAGTTTTTACTAATCTTCTTTTGTCTGTATACAGGCTCTTCACTTACCATATCCTGACTATTTAATTCATACGGCTTGAACGCATTTCTTTCCAGCGCACTCTTGATCGAAAATAAAATATAGTTGTACAAAAATGCGAGTACCAAAAAAGACGGTGTAAACAACTTGGTTCAAAGGTCACCATTAACTCCGAGTGATCTATAGATTCTTTCTGTTTGTGTACAGTACAACACTTGCACAGCATTTGGATGAAGTTACTTTGGCAATACTACACCCGCACCATCTTGTGTCAGAAGGTATGACCATGCAAAAATTGTTTTAGATACTTAGAGTAGGCTACTGTTATTATTTTTTATTTTAAATCTGAGTATCTATGTCAAGTATATTCTAATATAATAATATAATGGCCGGCGATGTGTAGGAGGGCGACGCGCGCCTTGCATATAATTTAAATTATAAATATACGACTATGACTATGGCATGTAATTTTACGCGACGGGTAGAAACAAATTTCGCTATTGGTAGAACTATTTCACTATTCCTTCCGCATACATACATTTCGTGGCGAACATATCAACGTTAATAGGCACTTCGTTACCGCCCCTGACACGCCGAAAACCGGGTATCCTGACTTCGTTTTCAAAATGGTGACCTCCACTTTTTAATTTACCGAAGTTATCGTTGTTTCGAATTATTTTTTTTTCCAGATATTTAACCCAGCATGCATATTCTACTTCCTCTAATATCTTAGGTGTTACAGTTACAGTAGACATCTTGGGTGACATCTTGTTTTCTTAGCCACTTTAGTTCTAAAACGAAGTTGAGGTCTTAACTTTGAATATTAAAGGTAAAAGTAAAAAAATGCTATGTTTCTTTATTGTACACTTCTAGATACAATCCGTGACAAGAAGTGTTAATGCGTTAATGACCTGCGGTCAGCCCCTTTCCTGGCGCAATTTCAGCCGATAAATAAATTTTGTGTCAAATGTAGCAAATCTCTCCGCGTTAGCCAGTTACACACTGTGGTGACAATTGGAAAGTCTACAAATGAAGAAAAAATAAAGATTATTTAAAGAATATTGCTGTTATGTCAACAATAGTACATTTTTGTCCTTTTAAAAAATGCGCAATTGTTAACAAAGTCTGAGAAGTGTCCATTGTACAGTGCATGCACATCGTCACATTAACTAATTGAGCCCTGGAAAACCGCAATTATTCATAGCTCTATTTCACCTTACTGAAATTACTGGTAAAATACCACTTTAGGATCGGTTATCAAAATATTAGTGTTGTTCTTATTTGAAGTGCTATTTAAGTTTAAATGGTATTCTTTAATTGAAAATATACAATTCTTTTATTGATCTAAATAATTGAAATTTTTTTTGCTGACATTGTTCACATTAATTTCAGCATATGTATAAAAGATAAAAATTTTAAATCGAAAAGTTTAAGCAATTTTATAATTTTTAAAATATAAAAAATTAAAGATTTGCTGAAAAGAAAGCAGAATTTGAGTTTATATCATCCCTCTATGCACTCCTGTAATGTGGTCACACCTCGGTCTGGCACTTCAAAAGAAAACTGTGCCCATGCTCTTCTATTACACGGAAGCCAGTTACCCTCTCTCCAATGTACCATTAACTTTTTAATAACTTACGTTGAAGTGGTAGATTACCTTATAATTATTTATTATAAATAATAAGCTAATCTGCGAGTACTGTTTGCTGAAAACAAATGGGGACTAAAACGGACAACTCAAACTACAACTGACAACATATTTTTAAAATTAAACTGTAAGCCAAACAATTTTAAAGGAAATATGAAAGATTTTGATTTAGTTCATTAATTTTGATGAAACCTATGCCTATACTGCTGAGTTAAACATAGGCGGGCATTTCCATGCTAGGCTTAGACTGAAGTAAGATTTTAATATATTATTGATACGGGACTAATTGACGAACCTAACACATAAGCTCAAGAGAGTAGGTGGCCAAAAATCTTAATAAATTTATTACTTTAAATTAGATAAGTTAGGCCCAATAAGGTTAAAATTATTTGTTTCTCAATAGGCCCAATAAGGTTAAAACTATTTGTTTCTCAATCTGAACATTCAATTTATAATTTATATAGTAAATAGTAGACTTCTTAGCCTATTATTTTTAAATTTGGATAATTATACTATTGTTATTTTTAAAGCATGACAACATTAATTTTGTTTAATGATTACACAATTGATGATTAAAAATGTATAGTTTTCTGTAATTGTTAATTTTTATGTGAAGTGCAGTGAGCCTAGCCCTACTGCACTACTGTGCTATATAAAACCACCTTAATAATAATAGTAACCCAAACATTAACTTTTAAAAAAAAAATCACAATTTTAATGATTCCCTATATTTTATACTTATTTAACTTAGCAACCACTTAGCAGATTTAAGTAGTACATTTTAAATATTAAAAAAACTAAGCAGTTAAACTACACATTTTCTTAAATATTTGGAAAATCAAATAAATCAATAGAAGTGATTGGCTATATTTCATTGGTTCCACTATTTCACTAATTTCGTTTAATAGCCTACATGATAACATGACTTCATACTTTAAAAGTTTTACAACACATTTTATTGTTTGCATGATGATTCTTTATTATTACTTTTTAAAAATTACTTTAATTTTAGTAAATTTAGTATCATCTATTTTTTTTTAATGTGGTTGATTTTTCTGGAAAGATACCTTAAAAAAACCGGGCATGACTTTATAAACTGCACATTACTTGGGCTGACATTGGTTGTAGACACACCACAAGCAGTATAGCAGATCAGGCCTAGAGTGTGGTCAATGACACTGTTGTTTGTGATCCCAGTACCGTTACTCAAAACAATACCACAGAAGTGAACTTTATTTTAAACTTTCATTATTAAGGTGTCGACCTTACTGACGTCTTAACCAATTCTGAATTAGTATGAGACTGCAAAACTTAAAACTCAGGTGTGTTTGTTATTCAAGAGGAATTAGATAAGGCCACACATGTGGGCGATATTGTTAACAAAGCATCATTATAGCCCATTACTGTAACAAGTACTTTTATGGCCCCCTTATTGTATTGAAAGAGTTAAATGTTTCCATGCCTGGTATAAAAAAATAATATAGAATGATCTATAACTGTAGGTTGATAGAGATGGCTCATTTTGTAATGCTGGAACTGGAATAAATGTCAGTCATCATATTTAATTTAACAGTGCACCCGCATGAATGTTTTTTCTCTTAACTGGTTTTCTTTATAGTGAAATAAATCAGAGCAATTGTTTTATTAAAGCAGTAGGATTAGTTAGTCGTAGATAGGGTGACTAATCTTGAAATGGCCAGAACTTTGATAATATTATATCTAAAATTCCTGATTATGATTGAGTTCTTTTGTAGCGCTAGTGTCCATGCTATTTTAGCATACTCACAGGGTTCTGATGATCTATTTAAAGAAAAAAGTCCTTAAATGGTTTTTAAATGACTTTTTATCATTTTCAATTTCCCTCAAACTGTTTCACAATTTAGGTGCAATAGCTTCAAAAGAGCACATGACTTCTTTCTGTGTCCATCCACACTGGGAACTCTCCCTACTGTTCCACAATTTAGGTGCAATAGCTTCAAAAGAGCACATGACTTCTTTCTGTGTCCATCCACACTTTGAACTCTCCCTAAGGAATGTTTTAAAGAGCGCAGGTTCTTTATGGATACATGTTTAGAAATCAGTTTTTTAAGATATAAAGGTGCAGAGCCTTCTATACAGCTATACGCCAGGGACAGAATATTGTGGACTTTGTGCTCACTCATTGGAAGCCAATGGAGATCTTTAAGAACTAGGTTGACGTGGTCAGATTTCTTAATACACGATATGATGCGTGCTGCAGTATTTTGTACCTTCTGGAGTCTCTGAATTTGGTTTGAGGTAAACCCCACAAACAACTGTTTCAGTAATCTAATCTTGATTGGATTAGAGTGGCTGCTATGGCAATGGCTGTTCTCTTATACAGTTGAGGATGCAGCTGACCCAGATAGCATAGATGACAGAAACAGTCCCTGAGCACAGAACTGATATGAGGGATCATAGTAATTTTAATGTCAGTGTAGAAGCCAAGATCTCTAACAGTGTTGGAAAAGGGGATCTCAGAAGCACCACCTTTTAATCGATGCCATAGCAACCTTCCGAATATTGGCATCAGAACCACATACCATTGCCTCTGTCTTATCGTCATTTAATTTAAGTCTGTTTGATGCCATCCATGATTTCACCACAATACTGCAGTCCTCGACAGCTTGCACAGCAGCAGCACAGTCCAAAGGTTCGGGGGGGGGGGGGACCATTTTCACAGTTCTGTGTCATCCGCAAATAGTAATCTTAGACTAGCATTTTAATTGTACTGGAGCTAGATCAACAGTACATGGAGAGGGGAGTGGGGGTGAAAATCTTGTATGTCCAACCAAGTGGTATTTTAAAATTTGCTTGTGTCTGACTGAGGTCAGCCATTTTAATAAGGAAACATTTGGAGGAATAATGACAGATAAATGAAAGTTATCATTTTGTAATGATGGTCAGCCATCGTAGTTGTGCTTCCTTATTATCTCAATTAACTTGTGTAACATGGGTCACTTTGTAGTAAATGTCAATCCAATGACTGATGTTACCATTGTTAATGTTTTTTTCTTGTTCATTTTATTGTACCTTATTTTGGTCTGACATCTATCACAGCTTGGAGGAGACTGTAGGAAGTGTGAAAACATCCCAATGGGCTATCCTGTTGTCCCTTTTCAAAATGAAATGAAAAAACGTACTCCTCTGAGAAGCATTATGAAGCTGGTGGATGGTGTTAAATTCAAATATATATTGTTTTCTTTGTTAGGCTGATTTCACAGTCAGTGTTCTTGGATATGATGGAGACAGCAGGAGCCATGGAATCAGATGACCCAACATCCATAACATGGCTGTTTTCAAGTGTGTCCTACTATCTGCTATTGACAACCATTTTGGCTGCAATTTACCTGATCTATAACCAGGTGACTGACTCTGAGACCTGGGAGAAGTATGGTGTAAAGCAGGTCACGATGGGACTTGTTGAAGAAAGGTAAATTCTTTCAGTGAATCTTATTGTTGGTCATGACAAAAGTTATAATGAAATGGTTTTTACCATTTTAGCACTTACTTAGCCTCAAAGCAAAAGCTACCTACATACATATTCAGGATGCATAAATCTTCAGTGGAGTAACCTGTTATCCGAAAATTGTTCGTGGGTTGGCAGATGATTTCCTCCAAAAATATTTGTGTGGTCAATGTTCAATGGCCTCACAGCTAAGATCACCATTCTGGTCCAATAGCCATCTTGGCATGGACTCTTTTGGTCTCATGTTGGAGATAAAATCATACCTCTAAAATTTTAGATAGAGGCGCTTTGAAATAAAGTCTTATTATGGAGTCATTAAGTGCACATAGACAATGAGAGACCTTATCTTAAAGGATGCAGGTTCTTACATGAGTTTTATATTACTGACATGTAAAAGGATATGCTGGAAGGACTAGGACTAGCATGTTGAGAAGAAGACAAGAAGCATAATTGCTATGGGTTCTATTGCAGGATTAAAATTAATTAAATTTATAATTTTTAAGACAAATTTTAAATATAGATCCACCGTCATTTCTGCCATTTATTTTTGTTTACCAAAACATATCCAGAAAGCAAAAGGTTAAAAACACAAAACTCCGCCACTGCTTGCATTTTGCAGGAGGCTATGTTATTGCTTCTAATGTACTGTAAATATTTTCATTTCAACTTGGTTCCAGAGACGGTTATAAAAAGCTGTTGGAAGAGCATGGAGACACATTTGGTTTGAAACGTGGAACCATGTTTCTTGTGACAAAAGACTTGTCCATCCTAAGGGAGGTGATGGTCAAAGATTTCAACAACTTCACAGACAGAATTGGGCACTTTAACACAGACACTGTTGTGAGCAAGGGGGTTTTCTTCTTACAGGGTCAAGACTGGCGCAGAATACGACAGATCATCACCCCTTCTTTTAGGTAAGATATGCATGAATATATAGAAAAACAATTCTTATATAAACTATGAAAATAATTTTGCTTGGAATAAATACTTTTTGGGGACAACTGGGAACTCAGTAGGGTAATAAAGAACATATGGCACATATTTGAAGAATGACTCAGTATAATCAAATAAAAAGATTCACATAATTGGGTAGGCACAGTCTCTGCTTAAAATGACACGAGGACTTCAAAAATGTTAGAATGGAGGGGATTATGAGAGGAAGGTACTGGACATCACTTTTAGGTATGCAAGTTGTCTTACATTGTAAATGTATGCGTTTAAAAATAATAATACAATATCCAGATGTAATGTGCAATAAACACTCAACTTATTTATTACATTTTACTACATATAGTTAAATAATGTAAAAAATATCACTGATAAAAAGTAAAGTGAATGACCCCTTTATTATTATATTAACAAAATAAATCTGCCACAATCTTACAAGTCTCTAATTTTTATGAATTTTAATGCTGTCAGTCCTATGAACATGTCAAGTGGCATGGTCTGCATAAAAGTATTTTCTATTACCTGCCCTACACTTTGTCTGCGTTCTCCTAATCCAGTGGTTCCCAGCCTGTGCTACCCCAACCCCGTAAATAACTCCTAAACACCATTAACTTTTGAAACATAGGGTAGACCTGATGGGCTCCACCATAGAAAGTAATTTGAAAAATGGCTCAGACAGTCGAAAAGGGTGGGATTCACTGACCTAAGCAACACAGCTGTCAGGTTTAGTCGTATGCTAAATGACATTGTTCTTAACTAAAATGAGCATACCATTATTTCCCAATCTCAGCTCTGGCAAGCTCAAACATAGTGTACAGACTGTAGATGAGCGTGCGATAAAACTGACCAAGATCCTAGAGGATTACGCCAGGAAGAGCAAGCTTGTGCCCGTGAAGGACTTGACCAGCCAGTACACCATTGAGATCATTGCCAAGACAGCCTTTGGGCTGGACACTGACTGCCTGGGCAAGGAAGACAACGAGTTCACCAACTACTACAAGACCATCTTCAAGTCAAGAGGCAGAGTCATGTCCAAGGTGATGCTGTTCTTCTACAGATTCAAAGCTCTCCACAAATTTCTTGTGAAGGTGGGTCTTAGAGCTTGAGCAGTGTTGTGAAGGTGGGTCTTAGAGCTTGAGCAGTGTTGTGAAGGTGGGTCTTAAAGCTGGTGAAGTGTTGTGAAGGAGGGTCTTAAGCTGGTGCAGTGCTGTGATGGTTCATTTTAAAGCTGGGGCAGTGTTGTGAAGGCGAGTCTAAAGCTGGGGCAGTGTTTTTACTCATCAACCAAAAACCTACAATGTCACTTTTTTTTCTAAAAGTTAAATTCTGTCAACTCAGCTGTCAACATTCTTGTAAATTAAAAACCCACCCATCTGACACTAAATGCTCTTTATTTATTTTTTTTTACTACTTCCAGAATTTGAAAGTTACATTGTTAGATGGGGTTAGGTCAGATGCTGTCTCATACTTCAAGGGAATTCTTAAAAAATCAATAGAGGAAAGAAAAGGGCTGCAGCAGAAAGGCCAGGAGCCGCCGTCTGATCTTTTACAGAATTTTTTGCAGGCCAATATTGCGGAGGATCAAATAAAACAGGAAGGTAGTATGAACAAATTATGAGATTGTGTTTTGCTATTCCAGAAAATGAGACAGCTATTGCTTTTAAAAAAGAAGAGGAAAGAGTTGTGACAATATTTTTAAATATTAAAGAAAAGTAAAATTTTTGTTTTCACAAAAGAACTAATCATTTATTCAGTATGCATTTATGTGCAATCCAGCCAAATACTAATACAATTGTTTGGGATGGTCTTAAACTTCATATCTACTCTAATCAGTTCATAAAGAAAAAGCCCTAAAGTCACACGTGAACTGACTGACATAAAAGTAATGTAAATGAACAATGACAGTTAAACAGTTCACTCGATTCAGTTTAATTTTTGTTTACTTATGGTGATTTTGTATCTTCTCAATTTGTTTATTAAGTTCTTACAAAATTTAAATTTATGATAACAACAATTTCGTTAGAGAGCACACCTGAAGATTGGCAGAGTAACTCAACTCTCGCTAAAGGTCTCAATTGGGATAAACTGCCCAAGACCATGTCAGAGGAAGAGTTGATTGGTCAGTCCATGTTGATCATGTTTGCCGGGTTCGACACCACAGCCACAACACTTATGACATGTCTTTACTTACTGGCCAAACATAAAGATGCTCAAGTAAGAGTCTGAGATAATTAAAACGAAGGGTCGGCGTTACAGAGCTATTCTTGATTGATTTTTTAAATCCTTTTTATTAACTTCCCTTTTGGTCACGTGTTTCTGGCTGGGTGGCTAATTGACCCACTTCCCGCCAATCTATCGAACTGAAACTTGGCACATAGACTTGTTGCAGATGACCACACATTATATCAAAATTTCAGCCCCAGTCCCCAGATATATATTTTTCAAGGGCAGGTTGAATGAAATATGAAGACACTGACTTCACCAACTAAAATTCCTGATAACTGCGCTAAATGGGATTCGTAAAAATATCGCAAGTGCGTTTGGTGCAAGATTTTCTTTTTTTTTCTGAAACAGATGGTGAAATAAATCTGCAGTGTAGAAGCCGGTGGGACATTAGAATATCGATATAAAATAAAATAATAAAAAATGCCTATAAACAATTTATATGAAAAACTTTGTTTTTTTTAGTGGTTGTTTAATGTTACAGTTTCTGGTCTCAATCAGAAAAATTCAAAAGTACAATTCTATAATTATTGCAGAGGGACGTTAAGTATTGTGTTTAACTTTAAACCCCTTAAAAATGTGAACCATTATTTTTAAAACACTAAAGTTTGTGCAACGCCGTAGTCTCTGACAAGAATGAAATCTTCTTATTGATTTGTTACAAATTAAGGGCATAGGGATATCTTGAGGGTATCAGTAGTATAGAAGATCTCTCTGCCTCAAAGCAAGGCCTCCACACAATAGTAGCAGGGCAGCATGGAATGTTTTTGCAGCTTAAAATGTGTAGTCTGTCCCACAGTGGAATGTAAAAAACCATAACTTTAATTGTTTGCTATTTTTAACCCTTGACTAGATTGGAACTCCATCAATTAATATATTTTTCTCTGTTGAAAGATAATTTCAGTACAAAGTTTTGTGGGAAAATGTTTCAAATTGTTTAACACTGTTTTCAATCTCAATAAAAAAATATGTGTAACTCTTGTGAAACAAAATATGCACATTGCAGTATTTGGTTCATGTTATTTTTTTTTTTTCTACATCTTCACTTAAAACATTTTTTTTTTATGTAGGAAAAGGTGTACAAAGAAATAGAGAGTATTGTCCGGGGTGCATCCCCCACTTATGAAGAGTTGGGACAGCTGACCTACATGGAACAAGTCATCAACGAGACCCTACGTTTGTACCCCCCTGCTCCAATCATGTCCAGATTGGCTGCAGAAAGCCGGACATACGGCAGCATCACTGTCCCTAAAGGTGCAGGGGTCATGATCCCAATATTTGCTGTACTTAAGGACCCTAAGAATTACCCGGACCCTGAAAAATATGATCCGGATCGGTTCTCAGATGAGAACAAGGCAAAGAGGGACCCTATGGCTTTCATGCCCTTTGGATATGGTCCACGTAACTGCATTGGAATGAGATTGGCCTACTTGGAGCTGAAAATAGCTTTGGCCCACATTATTAGGAAAGTCACCTTTGAACTGAATGAGCAAACTGAGCCCAAGAAAGGGGAAGACATTGTGATCAAAGGCCATGGGATCCTACGTACAGAAAAACCCATTAAGTTGGCTGTAAAGATTAGAGGTTGATAAACTTCCATGCAAACAAAATATAAGTGTAGTCTTGAATACTGTTGCTTAATTAAACTGAATTCTCAGATGTTATTTTTTAAATATAATTTTTTTTTTTTTATTTCTTGGGCTATTCAAAAAAAGGTCATTTTGTTCCAATATTTGGAATGTGATTTCAAATAATTTTTTCAAGGACATGTCTGTCATGTTTTTTAAATGTTGTATTCTTATTGATCAATTACCGGTATCTATTATTAATAGTAATAGTATTAAAACACATGTAAAAGTCTATAATATAATCAGTGTAGTAGCCAATGTTCCTCTAAGGTTTGTTGGTTCGTGTGCAAAATCATAAATTTATGTGCAAATTTTTACAGCATCAATTTTTTTGTGCGCAAATTTTACAGCCTACAGACACAAACACATCCTTAAGTGGAAATTAGCTGCGCTGTACTCAAAACTGCTGCGCGGCGTCTGTGAGATTACTGCGCAGCCGCGCAGCTTAAAGGGAACATTGGTAGTAGCTAGAGTTTATGATGAAAACCACAACACATACAGAATAAATATTAAAAAAACAAGCTATTTGAAGTATATGAAGTGGACAGAAAGTACCACCCCGAAATAAGTTTGAGCTCTGCAGAGCCCCCGACTTCCATGACTAAAACTAAGATAGCTAATATTTTTGAACAACCATTTAAAATTTGTTGCAAGATTTTAAAGAAAACATTTAAGAAAACTTATCAACATCTCAAATGTGTTTAACTTTCGTTCATAATTTATAATTAATTATACCTATACATATTATATTTTTATATCCAAATTTAAAATAATTTGTTTTTTTTGTTGAACTGAATATTTACAATTTTTAAGAATTTTTTGTAAAGTGCTTATTGTTTTATAAATAAATCTCCCATACTTTTTATGGGGTTTTTACCATAATGTAATCACACAATATTTATACTTTTTTGTCTCGTTTTTTATCTTTTTTTTCTTCATTTGATGAATTTATTATAATTATAATTCAAATGAAGTAAACTAAGACCGCTGTCATGTCTTTAAGCCGTACCCCAGAAAAAGTGGATGTAGCTACCACTGGTCAGCTCCTCTGTCAAAACCAGGAGCTTAAACTTAAATATCTGGAAGCATTTTCACAGAGGATGGAAGAATGGATAGAGTAGAGAGATGGAGACAAGAGTGCTGCAGGCAAATGCAGTCAGCTAACAAATTGGCTCCTGTACTATGACACCCAAGAATAAAGGTGGAGATCAAAGCCAGGCTACTTAATTAACGCTGTCTTTATTCCTGCCCTTAATCACCAGTGTAAAAACTGGGCTCTGAATAAAAGTTTTGATAGAAAAATAAGGCGAGCAGCCGGTTAATTAACCAAAAAGGGACCCCATTTGGAACCGGGAAATAAGACACATGGTTGGTGCTATCCCAATCAGTCCAGTATATGGTCCAACCACAAATTTCTTGGTTTTGCCAGCTGGTCAGATAGCCTGTCAACCAACCTGCATTTCAGGTGTAAGATAACGAGCAATCTGGTTTTTAGGGCGAGAGGGAGACCATACCGTCTGTGTGTTGACTGTGTTTAAGGACACCCAAAAAATCCACAACATGAACGTCCAGCAGCCCCCTCAGTCAACTGGACAGAAGAGGAAGATAAAGTAGGATTTTATTAAGACTTTCATTAGTTTCATATCTACGTTTGAAGGTACCGGTATCAAGTTCTCTGTGAATGCATTTTAAGACTTTCATACCCATGATTGCAGGTGTCAAGTTCTCTGTGAATGCATTTTAAGACTTTCATACCCATGATTGCAGGTGTCAAGTTCTCTGTGAATGCATTTTAAGACTTTCATACCCATGATTGCAGGTGTCAAGTTCTCTGTGAATGCATTTTAAGACTTTCATACCCATGATTCCAGGTGTCAAGTTCTCTGTGAATGCATTTTAAGACTTTCATACCCATGATTGCAGGTGTCAAGTTCTCTGTAAATTCAGCTTAAGACTTTCATACCCATAATTGCAGGTGTCAAGTCCTCTGTCAATTCAGCTTAAGACTTTAAATACTTTAAAGATTCATAGCCATGTTTGGAGTGACATACAAAATTGCTCTACGCCCCACTTGCTGTAGCTAAAATTGAATAAATTACCAGGTGATCCATTAAAATCATTCTCATTAAAATTAAACTCAGTCTTACTATTACTAAGTATTTGTTCTTATGAAAGAATGTTTACAGTTTTTTAATCTGTAGTCTTGTATTTCCAAACCTCAAATCAAAGAGGGGGGTAAAAATCTGTACCGGTACACAATTTTTAAGAAAAGTGAAACATTTAACGTAGGGGTGTGCCGGATCCGTTTTTTCCAACCGGATCCGGATCCGGATTTTCTTATGCGAAATCCGCCGGATCCGGATTCCGGTTTCTCCCGGATTCCGGATTTTGGTACTATTGGTAGATACTTCGGTAAGTCAAGGTGGACTACTACTTTTTGTGTATGGGAATTCGCAATCGGCGCCAAAAAATCCGAGTTTTTAATTTTCCGATGTGTGTGTCTATTTATTATTAAATTAGTACTTTCGATATATATTTGAGTTCCGTTCCATTTGGATAAGTGTCTTACGAGAGACGCCATGTTTCTACGCGTTCGCAGCAGGTTATGCAGCTCGCTCAACCTAATTTCGCCATGGGGTTGGCCACGCCCCCCTTTTTAATGGCGGAAGTTGACGATACTTAGGAAATATTAATTTATTATCACTATTTACATCAAAATAATTGATAACTTGTGTTTCAGAATGCATTTAAAGACATTTAAACTGGAATGTTTTAATTTGAGCTTTAACAACCCGGTAGAATCCATATTATAAATGATCAGAATTTACCGTGTGCAACACGTTGTCATTGGCAACCATTCACAGCCACTTGCATAACTGTATCGTAGTACTACCTCAGAGTTTCATTCATAAGAGTTTGCCGTGTGCAAAAACTATTAAACCATTGGTCAGGGAAAGCTTTAATTAATTATTCATGTGCCAAAGTTGAAAGTTTAAACTAAGTCTAAACAGTATTTTAGTGATAAGGCAGGGAATGCGTTGCCTTATATAAACTATATAGTCATTGCGCATGACGGGATTGGTGGAATGAGATCACAGAATGTGGAGATGCAGTCCATGTTAAAAAATGACAAACCAAGTCGTACTTTAAAAATTCATAACTTTAAAACTACAACAGCTAAAAATATGATTTTGGTGTTATAATTCTTTAAAAAATTACATCTTTTCAACTATGCCATTGGTTTATTTTTACAAAAAGTTTAAATTTTCTTATCAAAGTCCCTACACTATTGGCCACTATTAGCGGTGCTGACTCTAGCCTCTGGTATGTACGGAATATTAAACATTAAACAAGCTCAACGCTCGAAACAATCGATTAATGTATCGTGATCGTGTGAAATTCGGGAAAGAGAATTACTTTTATTTCAGATTATGATCCGGTGAGTCACAAAATCTGGCAAATTCCGAAATCCGGTATATTCCGGAATCCGGTTGTTCCGGATACATGTAAATCCGGCGGAACCGGATTTCACCGGATAGTGCAAAATCCGGCGGAACCGGATTCCGGACCGGGGTCCGGCACACCCCTAATTTAACGTGAGGGAAATAAAAAAGGAACTAGTGGAGCATGGTAAGTGGAAGCTTGAAATATAAATACAGGACATCAAAGGGAGAACGTTTCGGCTAAAGGCCTTCTTCAGCAGACGGGACAGAAGTAGAAGAAAACACAAGAACTATCTCCTTCACACAGCTTGAACGCGGTCCTTCATTTAGTAGGAAATAATAACTTAACTAAAACAAATCTTGTACACGCCCAATACTGTGGCATTTCTTAGGCCATTGGTTGTTGTTTGAGGTGAAACTATTAGAATACCGTATGGAATAAAGATCCCTTCTCAAATACTTTATCTAAACTATCCGTCCAAACGTGAGTATAATTATTGGAGTTTTCAGGCTGAAATAGAAGTTGGAGACTTTGAACTTCTTGATACCTTTGTGTGGGGATGGCTATAGTGTTAGGTCTGGAGGTTTACGGACATTAAGGCTGTGCTTTTAAATTTGTTATTTAGGGTTGAAGTTTTGTTTCGTGGGTGTATGGGCATTAGGGCGGCGCCTCTGCTACTCCCTAATATGGGCATTAGGGCTGCGCCTCTGCTACTCCCTAATATGGGCATTAGGGCTGCGCCTCTGCTACTCCTTTTCTAAAACACAGGTTCCCCAACCCAATGGGTGCCACTCCATGCTATATAAACAAGTCGTGCAGTTTTTGCTCTGTGGGGTCACCGACTAAAAAGTAAAACGGTAACGTAAACTATTATATATATATATATATATATATATATATATATATATATATATATATATCTCTCTCTTATACA